CCATCGGCGATGTGCATCACTGTTTGACGGTCGGCAAAACAGGCTAGACTCCATTTAACCATTCTGCATAACTCTTTGTCATTGAGCACAATGTTCGTCATAGGCAAAACACTTTGTCAGATTGTCATAATGCTTCAACATTTCACAAAATGGTTAGTCGATGTGCAAAATTCATCGGTACTGTGCGTAAACAATGACTGTTGATTTAAAACTTTCGTCAATGATCAAAATGTCAATGATGTAGTGCTTATCTAGCCATATTCAACGTTTAACGTTAATCACGCATTCAGGGATGAGGCTTATGACAGTTCCAGCGCAATTTGCAACCAATTAACTATTGGATTCCCGATTCCGAAAAAGGCAGTTATACGATAGCTACGAGGAGACTGCCGGCGCCATACCGAGTAGGAATGTAGATTCTTGAGCGTCGGACTCCAAGCAATTCGATACAAACCACGAAGTCGGCCGTCATTATCGCGTCACTGCCCGTGCGATGTCATGGGACAACGCCTCGGGCGGCCGCGCCGGTCGGACTCGCGAGGGAATGGCTGACAGATGGCGAGCCGGGCCCTGCCGGCCGGGCACCTTGGTGTTTGGGGCGGCGCTGACTTATCCAGCCTGTTGCCTGTTCCTTGGTGTTTGAGGCGGGGTTAACTTATCCAGCCTGTTGCTCTGTTGCCTGTCCATTTTTCAATCAGCCGATAACATGTCAGCTACGTCCATCTACATTGTACCTATGGTGCTCATGAACGCTACCGATTTTTATGTGGATCAATGGTCTACGAGTTTCGCCACCTATGCCTCGCACTGCACTGTATAAACGTGGTCGTATTTGTACTTTTCTGTAAAGGGGCGATCTGTTTTTAGTTTTGACGAAATGTTATGAGGAATGCCGAAATTAGCATGGGGATGTTTTGGTGAACGACGAAGGGATATTAACGAATGACGAAGCATTTATCCAAATCGTCAAAGGTTTTGCCGGAACTCAATCAGTTATGGCGAATAGCGAAGGTAATACCAACTGACGAACTGTGGAGTGGGATCAGCATTCCGTTTTGCCCATATGCTGAAGGTTTTGCCGGAATGCCTCTCACTGGCGCCACCTATGTGCTGATCGGACGAATGGGTTTTGCTGATTGGCCATCGAACAACGCAAAAAGGTGTATTCGTCATATGCCAAGCTGGCACCCTCAATGTCAAAGTCTGGCGAAGTGTCAAACTGTTTTGCACACCGCTCATTTCAGTGTTCAATCTTTTTTGCTGAATGGCTGAAATGAAACAGACCACGTCGGAATAGTTGTGTTCAATGCCGATTGCATGGAAAAGGTGTCTTATTTCTATGTAGTCTCAGCTCAAGCTACAAAACTGTTGTGTCATTTCAAAACCCCATGTTAAGGCATGTTAAAAGTTGTATATTTCCTTTAACCCTCGCCGGCCGAGGGGGGGGGGCGGATGCCGCCCCCCATAGGGTTTTTTCGCGATAGCTCCAAACACGCTGGCGATAGAGAGCTGAAACCTGGCATACCTGACCCTTGATTCAAGCCGGATCTTTTGACTTCAACCGCATTTTCGGGTCATGTCAGGTCACTGACCTATGACGTCATAAGTGAACCTCTGCACGGTCTTCAGATGTCGCAACTTCGCAACGCCCTCACTGCCAGAGGAGCTTTCACAGGGAAATGAAAGTAGCAGGATCTAGTATCCATTACGAGTCTCACAAATTGTATGTCTCGGTTTTTTTCCTTAAGGTCATATGAGGTCAGGTCATTTTCGTGACCTCACCATCATGTCAATGGGGAAAAATGAAAACTGCTGTTCTGGCGCCGGGAACGATCTCCAGCTATCTCAAGCACACATAATCGTGATTTGATGCACTCCTTGCAAGGTTAGATGCGTCACTTTTGCAATGTTGACCTTGCGTGACGTCATTTATGACGTCTTGAAGGTCATATTAGTTTTTCGTCAATAACTCCCGATCAAATTGAGCTAGCGAGACGGGGAAACCACCAATGGACTCAGGAAGATTTGCCAAATCGAATGATATGCCACATGGCCTCTTTCGACAAACTTCGTGACCTGGGGGCGCTGACCTGACCGTGACCTGAGGTCAACACTCTAAGTTGACCTGACCCAAACAAAAAGTATATCATTCGACGCGCCAGAGCTAGGCGAACACGATGCTGTCAAAATCGCGGCTCTGCGGCCGTTTTTTACGAAGTTATTCACCAAAAACTGAACCGTACCTTGAGGCACTTGACCTTACCTCAGTGGTCACCGGTTGACCTAGGACCTTAAAATCGGGTACCAATCTTTGCGTCTCGTAACGGAGCACACGCTCGTTTTTTTCCGCGATGCGCTAGCTCCACCAGGGGCGAAACGGCGAGGGTAGGTCGTACCCCCCCCCCCCCCCGGCCGGCGCGTATGTAGAAAACCAATAGGTCCGGCGAGGGCAGTTATTTCCGGACCATTTAGCGCAGTATGAATTTTGACAATTGAACCAGTGCAGTGGTTTGGGAGATATGGGAGGAGGTCTCCGCCCTCACACTTCACAGTCACTCGTCTAATGGAATGCAGCCCAGTCATACTCTGTTGGTGTTATACTTTTACTGTTTTACTTTTACTTTTACTGTTTTGTTTACTTTTACTGCCGACGCGTCCGTGCTCAGCTGCACATCGAACGGTGCCGGCGGCAGCAGCACCCTGCCGTTCCAGCCGTCCAGCGACTCGATCCACCACCGCAAGTCCGCTACTGCCTCGTCCGTCCACAGCAGCAAGTCTTCCCACGATCGCCTGGAATTTAAAAGCCGATAAACGTTCCGCAGCTTCAGCTTGCAAGGAAACACCGCCGCCAGCATGCTGATGCAGCGTCCTGCTATGCGAGCTAAAACTCGAGCTGAAATATGTGTCCGTTTCAGCGCGCGAGAAATATCCTGCTTTAGTTTTGCAACCTTCGATTTAGGAACGGTAATAATCGGCGGCCGGTCAGCGGCTGCGCAGCGGATATCAAAACCCAGGTAGGTAACCTGCTCGGAAGGCTCGAGCGACGACTTCTGACTATTTATATGCAGTCCCAGCGCGCGAAAAGTATCCATGCAAATTTGTAAGTGCTGCGATATCTGTGACTTGGGAGCGGCCAGTAAAAAATCGTCAACATACGCCATGATTGACATGTGATGATCGCGCCTCAGGTATTCTATCACGACTCGAATGCACTTGTGAAAATAATACGGAGAATTGGCCCAGCCGAACGGCAAACGATTCCAGACGAACCAGCGCCCTCCGTACGCGAAGCCGAGGTACTTTCTAAACGACGGATGAACGGGAAAATGGTAGAACCCATCTTTTAGATCTATAGTAACTGCGCACTCGTTATCTCGCATAACTTCGGCAAGCACAGACACGTTCTCAGAAGAAAAATGCGGGACATCACAATGCGCATTAATATATCTCAGATCACATATCAGACGATGCTTACCATTCTTTTTCGGAACAACTTTCAGCGCTGAGACACACAACGGCACATCATGAACCTCCGACACAACACCTTTTTGCACCAAATCGGACAGTTCAGCATCGAGAAACCTACGCTGAGCACTATCAAATGAGGGATTCTGAAACAATCGCGGCTCTGGCTCGGACGAGAACGGAATACGCACACCATTTGCAATCCAGTCTATCACTACACTGTTAGCGCCGATGCGCTCCCACGCTGCTACGTTGAGCCCCATTGTTCACACGCGTAGAACAGACTCCGGTCAGTTATCATATGTCACTCCCGAGCCCCTCCCGGGCTGACCTCGTCCACGAGACAGGTCGAGGTCAAACCGGTCACGTGGCTGACCCCAGTCCGCCGCGCCGGCTGGAACCCTGGACCGCCACCCCGCCGGGGGCCGTACTGGAAGCCGCGGCCGGGCCCGCGGGCGCCTCGCCACGCCGGGAAAGATCCCCGGCCACGTGATCCACTGACCTGGTGAAATTGCCGAGCCCCGGCGATGGTCACGGCTCGCTGAAGGTTCTCGAGGGAGTTCGGCGTGAAAGCTGCCGGATTTTGCTGTAGCGTAGAAAACAGCTTTGCCGTCCCGTCGTCGAACTGGGCTGATACCAGAAGTTGCGTGTACTCCTCCTGCAGGTAACGCAGGTGTGCCAGGCTGACAGCCGATACCTGGTTGAGCGCCGCGTCCTCCGGATCGCAGGCGGACAGGAGCTTGAGTACCGTCTCCTGATAGCGCGCCGACTTCTGTATGATGTTGAATCTCGGCAGGTCTGCCCTGCTGATGCCCGCACGACTGTCGCCAACCAACAGGTCTGGCGGTAGCTTCACCTTGGCGACGCTGTCGCGAATGGCCCGAAATTCGGCCTGCACTTCGCTGAATGAACCCAGCACGGCACTTGGCATCACTTGATGCTGCTGCTCGTCAGGGACGACCTGTCGACGACCGACATTGTCGTCTTTATCGCTTTGCTCTGTGCACTGAGAAGCACTTAGCTGTTTCGAGATCTTCTCGACGAGACCCTCGAGCCGGTCAAACCTCTCTGTGATAGAGGCCACCTGACACTTGAGCTCCTCCACTTCCGCCATCCGCACGGATTGGCTCGTAGCCGCCTCGAATACCGGCGGCTACTCACTGCTCACTGCGGACGTGACTCGGCGGAGCACGCGCCCAGACTGACCCGGCGAGCGGTCGGGTCACCGCCGCTCGCCGGGCCAGCGCCGCCCGTGGCGGGCGCCGCAACTACGGTCGTTGGGTGAGCACATTAATCGGGCTGAACAGAGCTGCTGACCACTGCGGCACGCTGTGCGCTGTGCGCTGTGTGCAGGTAGAGACTGGACTGACACTGTGCGCTGTGTGCACTGTGCAGGTAGAGACTGGACTGACACTGTGCGCTGTGTGCAGGTAGAGACTGGACTGACACTGCGCACTGTGTGCAGGTAGAGACTGGACTGACACTGCGCACTGTGTGCAGGTAGAGACTGGACTGACACTGTGCGCTGTGTGCAGGCGGAGAGCGGGCTGGAGTACGTGGTCGAGACGAGTGGCGCCCACCAGATGAGCACCTGGCTGGCGGCCATCCGCGCCAGCATGGACCGACCGTACACGGACGGCGACCTGCCGAGTAGCAGTCGGTGAGCCAGCCCACCCCCTCTGCGGCGCTGCAGCGCTGCCGGCTAACGCTCAGCGCGCCGGCGTTGATACTGCTGCGGCATATGCCCCCCCTTGCCGTTGATACTGCCCCCCTTGCCGTTGATACTGCCCCCCTTGCCGTTGATACTGCCCCCCCCCCCCCCTGCCGTTGATACTGCCCCCTTGCCGTCTCGCCCCTGGTGGAGCTAGCGCGTCGCGGGAAAAAAACGAGCGTGTGCGCCGTTACGAGACGCAGAGATTGACATCCGAGTTTAAGGCTCTAGGTCAACCGGTGACCTCAGAGGTCAGGTCAAGGGCCGCAAGGTACGGTTCCGTTTTGGTGAATAACTTCGCAGCATCGATTTTAGCAGCATCGTGTTCGCCTCGCTCAGGCACGTCGATTAAAGGCCGCCCCACACTGGAACTCGCATGCGGGTTGCCAGTTTTTGGGTTTTCGGGTTTCTTCTAAATCAAATGGTACAATCTAAGCTGAGTGACCTACACTACCCTCTAACAAGCGAGTCTGCATGTTTTTAGCTTGCGAGCTACTTTGCATCGCATTCCAAAAGTTGATTTTGAGTCAACTTTCGATTCTCCTCGCTGCGAGGTCTGCGAGTTTTGCGAGGTTTGCGGGTTTTTCGTTGGAGTCGAATTTTAGTTTGTTGCGCTGGTATTGCGACTATATGTAATTTTCTGAAGGTGTACCGGATTCATTGCATTCATAAGGTTACCATAAGGGAACGTTTTAATCACTATGAGTTAGTATTATGCCCGCAAACTCAAAACCCGCAAACTCGCAACCCGCAGGCGAGGTCCAGTGTGGGGCGGCCTTAACCCGCGCCCTGCTGGGGGGGGGGGGTGTTTGAACACCCCCCTTGTGGTTTTTGGTACACCTTATCATACATCAATTCTACACATGTTGTGAAAATTTTAGACATAGGTCATTCAAGGCCAGGTCACCAGGTCACTGTCACTCACCTCATAAAAAGTTTTAATGTCTGTCATAGCTACACCGAGTGACCGATCGCTTTGAAAATTTCAGCGATTGCTAAGAGCAATAGCATGTACAAAATGTATATCTCAGAATTTTGATATCGATGACCTAAGGTCAGGTCAATTTTGCGACCTCCCCATTATAAGTCAATGGGAGAAAATTGAAATGCGCCTCTTTTGGATGAAAGACATTGACCACGTTTCCATGGGCATCACTGATCCGGATCAGTAAAAATGGATTAGCTAATCCTGTATAGTTAGACACTTTATGAAAATTAGAATAAGAGATTAACTGTTTGTATAAACCTAATCCACTTTAAATTATACCCTGTAAAGAAGAATTCAAAAAATATACACGATTTAAAGTTGCTGATCCGAATCAGTGATGCCCATGGAAACGGGGTCATTATAAACACTCCCAAACACCGAATTACAAGTGGTTTAGACATGACACTAAACATGAAAATGGTGTCCGTGACCCTTGTTTATGCCCTGAGGTCATCTTAGTTCACGAATGGTATCCAACAGTTTTTCGCAAATAACTTTTGATAGAGGCATGCTAGAGCGATGAAAACGCCTTAGATGTGTTCAGCTCGACGATACGGATCGACTGATATGCAACATGACCCTTTCCAGTCAGGTCATGACCTTGACCTGAGGTCAAATTTTCAAGTTGACCTTTCAAGGTCAAGTTATAGTTCATTCGATGCGTCTTGACGAGAGGAACACGATGCTGGTAAAAGTAAGCTCGTACAAGGCTTGGGTCAAAAGTTATTGCAGAAAAACTGTTTCTGAAAAAATCGGTTATTTTTGCAGTTTTTGCCCCCTGCAGGCAAAACCGTTGACGTTAGGTCAAATATGAGAGAATTACTCAGAAAGGGCGTTCATAGGGCTATCGAATGCGCTTTTCCGCGGCGCTGTAGCTCTATTGGTTCCCGAGTTATGCGTTGGCTTCTTGGAAATTTTCGACATTCGACCTGGAAATCGGCGAAATTTTGCCTTCAATGACTTCTGGTGACTTGACCTTTGACCTGACCAAAAAATTGACCGTAAAGATTTCGTCATTATTTTTGACGCTCTTTCGAACGCCGCCTTCCGCGTATCGCTACGTGGCCCAGGAGCCGAGTTACAAGGGGGGGGGGGTGTTCAAACACCCCCCCCCCCCCAGCAGGGCGTGGAAATCCAGGACCCCCAGCCGGGCGCGGGTTAATATACTTTTTGTTTGGATAAGGTCAACTTAGGGTGTTGCCCTCAGGTCACGGTCAGGTCAGCGCCCCCAGGTCACGAAATTGGTCGAAGTAGGTCATTTCGCATATCATTCGATTCCGAAGGTCTTGCTGAGTCCATTGGTGGGTTTCCTGACTCGCTAGCTCAATTTGATCGGGAGTAATGGACGAAAAACCAATATGACCCTAATGACGTCATAAATGACGTCACGCAAGGTCAACATTACAAAAGTGACGCATGTTACCTTGCAAGGAGTGCATCAAATCATGATTCTGTGTGCTTGAGATAGTTGGAGATCGTTCCCGGCGCCAGAAGAGCAGTTTTCATTTTTCCCCTTTGACTTAGAATGTTGAGGTCACGAAGATGACCTGACCTTATATGACGTTGAGGAAAAATCCGAGATATACCAGTTGTGAGGCTCGTAATGTTTATTAGATCCTGCAAGTTTCATTTCCCTGTGAAAGCTCCTCTGGCAGTGAGGAGCTTGCGACATCTGAAGACCTTTCATCGGCTTTCAATGCCCTGCCTCTCGCTGTCAGGGAGCAGCCACCGGGCGCTTTTAAAATGAATGTGAAACGGCGTCTGGGCCAATTTTAGAAAGTACCTATGCGTGCTTGTGGGCAGTGAATGTTTTTTTTTGTGTGTGCTTGATTGCGTCATCATCCCCTCGTATTTACTTTTTCACCTCTTATGACTCGAACTCAAGAATAGCCATGTTGTGTGGATGAGTTTTTAAAGGAAGGGTGCCACCTTTTGGACACAACGCAGTTTTTACAAGATTAGCCTCACATGAACCTAAAAACCGGCTTCACTTACCTATGCTCGAGACGGTCAGCATTGAATCCGCACGTGAAGTTATCATTTGCGAGTTTTGCTGCCAGCATTCGGGCAGGCAAAAATCTTCAGCACTATTTCCTCGTCGTGTTAAGGGTATTTTATAAAACATGAAATCAGCAAAGGTATGTATAAAAGTTATACTTTTGAAGCATGTTTTATCATTTTGAAAGGGTATATTTTTTCTTTATGGTATACACTTAAGTTTTAAAATTTTAATTGGGAAGTTTTTCTAGTAAGTTGCATGAAGGGTGAAGGGTTCCATAGATCTCTTAAGCATTGTAAAGGAAAAACCTTTACTCGACTTATTTGATGTTCTTTTGACGTATCTTACTTAGTTCAACTTACTTACTACAACTTAGTTCAAATCATGTTATCTTCTTCCTTTTTATTTGTTCATCTTTTTGTCTCAGTTGCGCCATCAATGCAAATGGCAGAATGATATGTTGCCATGACAACAGGATATGCCAGCCGTCCTAGCTGCCACATCAAACGACCTTGAGTTGTAGTGGTGATATAAACAACGATCTTTTTTTTTGGCCAATGTATTAAATGCAATGTTTCGGTTTTTTGTATATTGTGGACGCGCTAACCACGTCTAAAAATTCAAATAAGTAAAATAGATTCATAGAACAAAAATTTCGGAAGGTGGCACCCTTCCTTTAAGTGTTCAATAAACAATAAACAATAACCGAAGGTTTGTTGTCAATAGTTTAAACACTATTCTTTAGAATTGTGTTTTTCTATTGAAAAACAAATCTGAGTTCCCTGACAATTTGGCAAAAGCTGCCTGAGATCAGTACAACTTGATGCTCGAGAAAACGGCTGTTCCAAATGTTCTGATTTTTCAGGATTACTAGTGGGCCAGGTGATCTAGGCTCTGGTATGGGTCTCTCCTCCGCGGACAATCTGGTGCACGTGCCACGTGACTTTGAAAATTCCCATGTTAAGCCAATGGGGAAAATGAAAAAATGCGTTCCGCGGCAGATTGCTCGAAAACGATCCAAACGACCCCCCCCCCCCCATTTTCTTCCATGCGGATCAGCCACCATTCGGTGCACTACCCATGGGTATGTCGCAAAGTGGCCGGAAAAGTCCAGAACCACGTGCCACGTGCCGTTGAAAACGACCCTGCACACCGGAAATTTGGACTTTAGGTCATTTCGGCACACCCGCGAAGCAGACTATGACGTGGGTGACCAATAGAGATGCCTTTTTTGAACCCGCGAACCCGCTTTTTGCGGGTTTTCAAAACCCGCAGGGTTTTTGGCGGGTTCGAGAAGCAAAATTTAGTCGTGTGGCGGGTATTTGGCGGTCAGATCTTAGAACCTATAATATATATTTTTTTAGATGCAAAACACAATGCCAAGTGCATTTCCTCAGGCTAACAATACAATATTCATCAAAACAACTTTCAAAACAGAACCAAATTGAAAAATATATCAAGGAAGCACATTTCAAATGCAAAACTGAAAACAACCAGCAATAGCATCCACACTCCACAGTCTAGCAATGACCAAACCAGTGGTACAAGCAACAAACTACAAAGCATAAATAAATGCTGATGAAAGCATTCCATAAAACATAAAAGAACCTGAAAGCAAACTTATAGAAAGCTGAACTGAAGTATATGTGCAGTGTGCACTTGGTATACATTATGGAAGAACCAAATCAGAGCAAATGCCACATGTTACTTTATTTGCATCTGGTCGGCAAAAAAAAGAGCTATCAGCGAAACAAAATTTGATGCAAATTCATTGATTATCCTACTCTACGTTCTGCCCCACCTATATTACAAAAATAGCACACCAATTATCCTTACAAAAAATTAAAATATTGACTGAAATGCGGCCCAAACATTACGCAATACAATAATGGCGCACTTCCGACATTCTGACAAGGATTGACATTTGACTGCGTCAATTTTGGTCTCTGAGGCGAAGGAAAG